TCTCACCTCATGCTTTAAATCAGCGTCCTGACTACAGTACATCAGAAAAAGAAAATCCCTTCAAGTGGGTAAGCTTTTACTGTATTGCAAGGTGAAACATGTCATTTTGAGGAGAAAGGCTTCACTTCCTCATGTCATTTTGCTGATTCCCATCCCAGTGATATTTCTGGGATCAGCACTCTTGTTCATACCCTGGCATTTTGGTAAGCAGAACACTGTTGTTTATAGCTTTTTGTTTTTTGCCCAGTTGCTTAAGAGAACTGTTTCACAGACCTAATTACGTATGCACCATAAAAATCTTATTCCTGTATGCTATGTGGTCAGTTCTGCCCAAAGGAACCACCACCAGCCTCTACTGTTTTAAGGATGGCTTTGCTTCTGTCAGTAAAAGATGTTAACGCTAGGAATGTTATTTAACATTAGAAAAATTAAATGGAATTAGTAAACTTTGTACAGTTGTTAATGTTTTTGCACTAGTGACTCCTCTCTTTGGCCTGATAATCGAGTTTCGTTGTTCAAATATTCATTGTATGTGGTTAAATGTACACAAACTGGGACTATATAGAATGTTAGAGCTGAAGGTGTGAAAGTAACCAGCAGAGGAACATTTGTCTGATTTCAGCTACTTTTCTCAGGTATGGGGAGTTCTGCCACTGACATTTCATCTCCAAAAGGATTTCTCCAATAGTCAATGTCATTTTCTCTACAGGAAAAGCACTGAGAATTTAACAGCAATTACTGTAGAGAACATCATAGAAACTGCATTTCTATACCTCCAGGACTGAACAGAGATTAATATAACTTCCACATTCTTGTCAAGGTATTTTATTGTACTTTATGGGAACAATACAATTTCCTCTTAAACGATATGGGGCAGTTTAAAGAACAAGGCTGTAATTTCCTTAACAAATGCTTTGAAGACCTTCAGGTGATTGTTCATTTTTAAAATGTCATGATTTTCTCTATAGCTTATTTAGGCAAGTGTGGTCATCCACACGTGACAAAACAAAATTAAAAAGGGCACTTAATATTCCAGTTGCCAGCAGTTGGGTGGATGGGGTTGCTTAATATACACATATTGCTCCAAACTATCCAAGACTTTTGGATAAATTAAGTGCAATATATTAATGCAATTACAGTGGCAACACAAATCAAGGAATGTAGCTGGGAGGTCTTTTTACAGTATGAGACATTATTAACACGTCCCTAGTATACCAGATTAAAATATTTGAAATTTTACCTACTTTCTTTATCTCCCCAGAAGAGTAAATTCTGTTGAGGAGCTGAATTTTCACTGTTTCAGACCTTTGTGTTCAGCTATTTTAAAGTGGAATTGCCATAGATTGGAAAAATAGCCGAATGACCTTTTATATACATACATACATACAGATATATATATATTTGACACATTTTTTCATTCACTTCAAATTATTACCTTTTTCCTTTGCTTCTGGACTTCACTGATTCAGGGCGGATAAACCAGCTCGAAAACACTCATTTCTTCATATGAAATAATAATTTAGATAACCAACACAACATAACACGGCTTTCCACCATTTAAAAGAAATAAAAACCTTTTAGAAATTATTATTGCATGGCATGGGACGAAAACACGTGGGGAGATAGAAGTTCAAGTTTTCCAACTTGCAGATCAGTGCTGAAATTTCAAAGGAAATGTGTTAATGAGAAACAATTATAGTGTGCTGCAGTGCTTAACTGATCTATTTGTAGTTCTAGTGCCAAGATGCAGAAGACACGTCTATGCTGAGCACTAGTATCAGTGATAATAGGCCTCTAAATTGGAAACAATCATTACAAAGACACCAACCAGACTCTTTCTCTGGTACATAATAACAAGATTGAGATAAAAATCGCTTTTCCTAATTCATTCACTTTCCTGTTGCCGCACATCCTGTCAACACTTGTTTGTAATTATATGAATACGGTAAATGAAGCACCCTGTTGTGCCTCACAAAGAGGAAATCTCTCTCATATTGCTGTATGTATGTATTTTCTCTTGGTGCTGATAATGTGTTGTTTAATCTCTCAGTGAGTGTAAGGGTGTAGATCAGTGCTGGAACCCCAACCCCTAGGAATTGTGCTTCAGCCAGCAGAACTGGGAATGATCTTGTAGAAATGAAAAGGTACTTAGTTTATTTCACACTGTACTGCCTACCTGTTCTTTGTGTCACAGAGAAAGTAAACACACACCATGCATTTCCACCATTACTAGAAACATACTTTAATAGCAGTGATGATTTCTTTCATCAGTTACCACTGTTACAGATCTCAGCACAGATATGGAAAGGCTCAGAAGGACATAGCAAGGAAATTGTTCATTCCAGATAAGTAGAGGACAGTTCCATTCATTTATGGATTGTTTCTAAAAGACTCTGCTAAAACTACCTATTAAGATAGAGGAGATGGGGAGGAGGGAGAATCAATCTCATTTCTCAATCTAAGTGAACAAAGAATTGCATGTGAAGCTGAACGGAGTGAATAACAAAGCTCACACCAAACCCAAAGGAAAAGAAAAAAGAGCCTTATTTTGCATAATTATGTCTGAATTGCACTAAATTTGACAGAACACGTTCCATTATAAGCCCTAAGGTCATATTTAGGTGGAGCAAAACATCAGATATACTGGCTGCAGTGTGCTCTTTCTGGGCTAATCTAAAGTCTCATGGGACAGCATGCAGGGGGACGGCATGCACAGCTGAATAGCTTTGGTTTAAATTCAGTTGTTAGTTGGTGTATTTGATACGTGTGTTGAAAGCTATGACAGCACTCTGTCAGATCTCTCTACGTTTCTGGGGTGGCTTTCTTATCTCTAAAATAGAAATGAAATAGAAAATGTTAATGTTACTGTTAAGAGAGCGATAAGGTTTAACTCATGAATATTTGTAGATTGCTTCACAGGACACTTCAAAAGTGCCCGATGCACAGTGTGTTTTTTAAATGGTGTTTTACCAGTGCTACCGTGTCAAGGGTTTGGCTGGGGAACCTTTAGGCATGTGTTTAAACTGATGTCACAGAGGCTCATGGCAAGGCTTTCATGATAAGTACTACCTGCATAATTTGAACACGGGTCTTCATAGAAACCCAAAGGAACAGAGCTCTGCCCTGTTTCCTGGGGTAAGCTACTCAGAATGTAGCTTTTCCTCCCTAAATCTAAGAATTTAGAAATACTGTGACCAAGGTTCTCTAAAATGACGGTAACAGAGTCCTGTTTGAATGAAAACAAGTTGATTTACAGAATTGCTGATACCAGCACGGTCTTCTTGCACTATCAGCATAAAACATGGGAAGTAAGAAGGCCAATAAGAGCATCCCAAACTCAACAGCACGAGGAGGCACTAAAGCAGCAAGATGTTAAAAAACAGCTCAACATCTCATAGGCAAAAATAAATAAATCAAAGATAAAGTAAACTTTCTTCTAGATAAGCAGGAGCATTTTAATGCTATCCTGATAAAATTAATCTACAAGAAATGAGTAAACACAGTTTCCATACTTTCTCCATCTTTCTACAAATTTACATCCTAATGGCTGAACTGTTTCAGGTTACTTATTGATCAAAGTAAGGGAGTGATGTGCAATTTTTTTGCCTTGAGTGATTCCATTAACTTCTGCAGGACTGCTTGGGGCCACCAAGCGAAGCCGCTTAACAATTAACAAACCTCACAGTGTTCCAAGGGCGTGAAAGAGCCAAAAGCCACTGCAATACTGGTTTGCTTTGTTAGTATTGCATATATACTACATGTGACTGCTGCAGTTGTCACATGGGTTGCTTGCACCAAATCATGCAGCTTGTTAATTAGAGTTATAGAATTGTTTGAGTTGGAAGGGACCTTTAAGGGTCATCTGGTCCAACTCCCCTGCACTGAACAGGGGATGATGTGACACAGCTGTAATTTGTAAACACGTTTGGGAGGAGCGTGGTCGCCTATCTGAGTTCCTTGATTCTTTTTCCTATTCAAGAGCCCCAAGAATTGGGAGGTCAGGATATTAGGAGAGAAGGTTCTTCACCAGCGGGTGGTGGGCATGGAACAGACTTCCCAGGGTGCTGGGCAGCCCTGAGCTGCTGGATCAACATCTCCCCGATTTTTGGGTGGCCACATGCAAGCCAGATGTTGGACTCGATGATCTTTATCACCAAGGTCCCTTCCAACTTGGGATATTCTGTGGTTCTATGATTCAGTTGTAACATTTCAACTAGAAACACAAGGAAATCAGTATTATTAATAATAGACAAAGATGTCTCTTTGTAAGCACGACCCACTGGAAACATCACACCTTCCGCCTCCAGACACGGGCAGCGTCTTTATGACTTGACGACGCTACCAGACCTCAGCTTTTCCCCCAGAAAGCTATAGAGCGTTCTGCCCAACTGACCCCCACGCCACTCTACTGCGAGCGCGTTCGTCGCAGGAAACCCCCCGGGCTGAACGAGCGGGAAGCCACGGCCGCGGGCCTCGGCTCGAGAGCTCTCCCTCAGGAGCCGCGCCCCGCCAGGACCGCGCCTCGGCCGCGGGTTCGAACCCCGAGGGGGGCGGCAGCTCCGGGAGCGGAGCGCGGCGCTCTCACGCCGGGGTTCGGCCGGGGGTCCCGCTCGGGCTCCGGCGGGTGCGGGCCCAGCGCACATGTGCGGCCGCCCGGCACATGCTCACTGCGCGCGGCGCATGAGCAGAGGCGGCGCGGGGCCATCGGACATCTTGGGCCGCCCCGCACCGAGCGGGGAACGCCGCCGCCGCCGCCGCCGCCGGGCCCCGGGGCGGGAGCAGCCCGACAGCCTCCGCGCCTCCCGCCTCGCCCGCCCCGGCGCCGGCTGCCGCCCCCGCCTCCCCCGCACCGCTCAGAGCATCCCTCCTCCCCTTTGCGTTTGTCTTAATTCCGCTCAGAGACAAGATGGCAACGCCGGCGGCGGTAAACCCTCCCGGTGAGTAGCGCTGCTGCCGGCTCGCCCCGCGTGTCCCGGCCGCACGGCGCGGCCCCGCCCGCCGCAGGCACGCAGCGCCCTGGGACGCGGTGCGGAGGGCGGCAGCGCTGCCCGTGCGGCGGGAGAGGCTGAGCTGCTCGGGGGTCCTTCCCAAGCATCGGCTCCGTCCTGGGCTCCGGGCACGGGGAGCCGCGTGTCGGCAACCGGCCGTGCAGGTGGATGTCGCTGCGTTTGCCAAAAGGTGCAATAATGGTGTTGGATTTTTTGTTTGTTTGTTTGTTAATAACTTATGAAGAGAAGGAACTTAACTGCAGTTTTCTCTTTGAGTTCTTTGCTGGGGAAGGCTTTCCCTGAGGTGGCGGTGGGTCTGTGTGCAGTGCCGTGGTGGGTATCGCAGTGATGCACTTTGACCAGCTCAGCGTTGGGTTGCCTGGTGTCCAGTATGAACACAGTGGCACAGCGGAGCTCACACCTCGGAGCTCAGTGCCAATGAGAAGTGGATCCAGTTTTATGTCTTTTAATTTCACTGTATTTCCTCGTCACTTTCAGTTCTGATCGCAAATAGTGCGCTTGAGTGGATGCCACCTAACACCAAGATGTTGTCCTTGTTGCTTTCACCCCTTTCTGAACACCGTGATGCACACAGCTGGTGATTTTCAACCAGCAGCAGTGAAGGAAGCAGGAACAATCCCAATCGGATTGAGTTTTTGTTTTCAAATTCTATGTATTAAACAACAATCAGTATTTAATGATGGCTTATCAAGTGAGTTTTATTTAGCTTCTAGGCTACCATGTTGTGCAGAATAGCAGAATTCCACTGTGTGTGCATGTGGCACCAGTCAGCAAGTGGTTTCGAGCAGCTGAAGCTTGGTTTGTTTCTTACTATCTCTTCCTCCTAAGCTATGCACAGGAGCAGCCCCAGCCACGTGCAGGTCTGTGCTCAAGCCGCTGGGTTTAGTAAATCTGGCAGCTCTTTGGCACCAGCCTCTTTCCCCTGTTCCTGCCCACCTGCAGCTGCAGCCACCAAAGCTGTGGTTATATAAGAGGTATATATGCACCTGAGGAAGAGCAGCCTCTAAGCAGGGCTTTGCATTTGTTCCTCTGTGACCCAGGGAATGCTCATGTTGTGAATTTAGGGAGAGCTTTTGGGAAGTAGGAGCACCTAGCGTGTTGGCTGTATGCATCGCGGTCCTCAAACTATTCAGTGCAGATTGCAGGTCTGCAGGAAGGATGAGGGAACGAGCTGGTTTCCTGAGCTGAATTAATGCGTGCTTCTGTAAGGCTGAGGTCACAGTGCATCTTGTTGCTCTGCAGTTAGGTAGTCAGAGCTGAGCTGAAAGACAACTCATTAGCTCTCAGTGATCCTCCCACGGTATCTGCGTGTGAGTGCTGCTGTCAGACAAATGTAGCTGTGCATGGGCAAAGTCAAAATGAGGAGACTTTGAGCTGTGAGAACTGCAGACCTTCACATTGTTGCTTTACCACGGACAGCAGAAGACAGAGCTGCACTACGTATCTTGGTTTATGCTATATATTTTGATGTGGTAGCAGTCTCTTTTATGTTTTTTTTTTTTATTCTGGACTAGCTGTGAAGCAGTACAGAGAAGCAGAATCAAAAGCTTTGTTGAGAGGATTTGATGACTGCTGTTTTCTTCCTGGGCCAGATCCTCAGTTGGAGTCAGATGAAAGCAGCCCTATTAGTATTGGTGAAGCTGCACTGCCTTATGCCAGCTGACTTCCTGATCCACGATGTTAGGGGAGCACAATAGAGAGATTAACTTGTTAAGCATCTTTAATGATGATTAGAAATTACAATATGATTAAATTTTTATTAAGCAATTGTCTGGGGTTCTAATAACATTTGGTAATTTAGGCAGGACATTAACCTACAGCTACCACAATACAAATACGTGTGGCATTAGTCATATCCTAAATAGTGGAATGGGGATTATCAGATGCAGAAAACTGGGTGTTCTGTGATTCTGAGGACGAAAGTCCTTCCACATGGTATCTCCTGATGCCCAGCCACATGCTGCTGTGTGCTGTTTCCTCCTCTTGCATGCTAGATGCAGATTGATCATTTTTTCCTGGTTTTCTTGCAAGAAAGGGTTTGAGTAGCAAAAACTCACAGAAGTTGGAGCGACTTGCAACCCATCCTTGTTAGGGCTTGTGGGAATTGCAGTGACAGGAACAGGATGGTGACAGAGACATGGCCACCCCTGCTGATTGTTCTTTGTGGTGAAGGGGCTCATCCATTGCTGAGTGGGGCTCTGAAGAATGATCTCCTGTATAGCTCTTGCTGTATGGTTGACCTTAGGAACAGGATCTGGTTGGAAGTACTTTGTTCATTTGTCATAATTCAGATGACTAACTGAACACAATACAGGTGTGTGGGAAGCTCATCTGCATTGGCACAAAGCATCAGAGTTAATTTATTTCCTCCTGAAATAAGATTGGCATATTAAGTGGTTTTTAAGAACAAAAAAATTGTGGGGGTGTAACAAGCATTTCATAAATTACTGCTTGCAGCAAAGAAACTTAATGCCACATCTGTTTTAAATATATGTATTTTGGGGATGCAAACTTGTCTGTAACTGTTGTTACGTTGAGGTCAAATTCTGCTTAACTTGCAATGAAGTAGATGATGTGGTGATTCTTGTATTAGTCCATTTGGGATAAAAATGTAGAACTCATAATAAAAACAGTGTTTTATTTTCCTTATTAAGTGGTCTTGGGTGAAAAGTTCCTTTTCATTCCCAGGGTATCCAACTGGACTGCGAAATGGGAGAGTGGTTTGTCTCCACCTGTAGCTCTCCCTATTCAACACACAGCCCAGAAGTTGTTGCGTTTTACTGCAACAGTGTGGCAGCTTTGCCCTTCATTTACTGTATAGACTATGCAGTGAACTCCAAAATCAATTCTGCACACAGCATTCTGTGTGTTCTACTGATGGTGATTATAATGGGCTTTAATGTTTCTGGGATGCAAAAAAGTTGTCATTTCTAAGATAATGTTAAAACAAAGATTTCAGAAGCTCAACGCTCATTAAATTGTGGGATCCATAAACTACTGATCCTTTCCTTCTCTTATTTTCATATCTTTGCTGTAGCAGAATTTGCTCTTCTTTCATTCAAACTGTGTTGTGAGATTATAGTGCTTATTGAATTGTTCTGTGATAGTATCCTGACCTTCAGGACTGTGTGCAGAGCAGCAAATTGTATTGAAGAAATGTGATTTTTTGTTACTTTTTATCTACAAGATAAGAAACATTTCATTTTGAAGTATCTCTTCCATCACTGAGTGTTCATTTAAAATTTGCGTATGCAGCTTATGGTTAGTTTTGATTATTTTTTCAAATAGAATAATGTTTCCCAGTGCCTCTTAATAAAAATGCACAACAAAACAGGCAGTGCTGATGCCTGTAATACCATATGGTTTTGCTGTTTTTTCTTTCCAGTTAGAAAAATTGCTCTAGAGATTAAGTAGGAAAGGCAAAAAGCAGCCATTTCAAAACAATCAAGGCAAATAACACCTTTGAGTTAGTGATTATTGTTATTAAGAGGACAGAAATGGGGCTGTCATTAGGAAGATGAATGCAGAGATTATGCTTAAATGGCTTGTGAAGATCAGATGTGCGTGTAGTTTAGGGTAATTTTTTTAGACTTACTACTTCATAACTGACAAATAAGAATGGGAGTGCGTTAATTCAGTGCTAACTGAAGAAAGTGTAGTGCTATTAAAACTTGCAATAGAAAATGGAAAGAGGGGGCCTTGAGTTTAAGACCCTGGTGGAATTTAGATCTGCCTGTAGCAAGGTCTCCTTGGGTGGCCAGAAGTACTCGGAGAGAGATTTGGGAAAGAAATCTGGAAATACAGAGCTATGCCCTCACCCATTCGGTAGGATAGTTTTGCAGAAGAATAGATTTGCTGGTCCAAACAGGCAGAAATTCAGAAATTCCAGAAATCTCGAGTCTTGGGTCAGTATACAAACAATTGGTACTTGTTTGTTCTTGCCAACAATACTTCTTTTGTTCCAATGTAAAGCATTTCCTCTCACTCCATGTGTATCCAACATTCTGTTTAAAGAGAAAGTTTTGTGTAAGGCTGCTTTTCTACGTTTTAGCTACTGATTCTAATCCCAAGTGGATGCATATTGTAAGCAAAGTTTAAAAATAATAAATAAATATACATAGAATAATTCATCATCTACTATTGCAAAAATCAAAACCAAAAAGCAAATTGATCTTGGTAGGCAGGTATCTAAATTAACGTTTGAGTATGGAGGGTGTACTTTTGGTCAGTGAAATGAAAAGCATTGCCCTGTTTAGTTAGCACATTCTTGGAAGGTCTTCAAGCATCAATCTGATGTTCTTATACCTGTTTGTTTGATTTTTCTTGCTTTTCAAGTCTGCTGTTCTTAATTGGTGGAATAAATTCTCATGGGCCAGATCTGCACTTTGTGGTCACTCCTAAAAGAGTCACAAAATATTGGATATCACCAAACGTTGGCCTGGCAGATGGATAAGTTACAAGCTTTGAAACTTGAAAGCCAAACATAGAATGCCAATTTTTTCAGAGGAGTTGTTTGAAACTTTGAGTGCTCACCATTTCACGTGGGTTTGTGCAGAAAAATGGCAAAATAAATAAAGCATCTTTTGCATGTCCTGGTGTATGGGAACTGCTGAATCACAGCCTGAACCTCTGATTGATCACCTGAGGTGAGCAATGAGTCAGCCACGGGAGCACAGGTGAAGGCAGTTCACCTGTGCTGCCTGAAGGGGTGGAGCCTGGCTGCACCTCTCCTAGACCCATCTAAGAGCTGATACCAGTGGGGAAGGATCTCCAGAAAAGATCCTTCATCTGGAGTTTTGCAGCGAGCCCAGGATGTGGTTAAGCATTCCATCTATTCCCTTTTGGTATCTTAACTGCTTAGCCAAACTCTCTGGTATACTTCATAATTATAAGATCTGTACATTCATTGATTATGCACCTGGTATTACAGTTTACATGAATAATAGCCATAGTTGTGCAGTGGGTAATGGATTGGAATCCTCAGCTGTAATTTCCCTTTTTGTACCCAAAGCCATCTACACATGGAGAAAGAGAACTCCTTTGTTGTGGATGCTCTATGTTTTGAGCAGTGTTTCTCGTTTTTCTGTTTTCTCTCCTTGTCAGCTGTTATTTCCATTCGCCGGCCTTCCACGTTTCTATCCTCTGCTTTCCATTCTGTGTCCCACTTTA